ATTTTATAAGTTTTTACTATATGCATATAGGGAAAATTAATGACCCCCTGGGGCGGGGCCAATTTTGACCCTAGGGCTTTTATTTGAACAAACTTGGTAGACACCCATTAGAACATGTTTCATGCTAAATATCTTAGCTCTAGCTCTTTGGGTTCTTTAAAAGAAGATTTTATAAGTTTTTACTATATGCATATAGGGAAAATCAATGCCCCCGGGGCGGGGCCATTTTTGACCCTAGGGCTTTTATTTTAACAAACTTGGAAGAATTACTATAGAATGGTTGTTGAGTAGATACTAACTGGCTTCCCTTGGACAGCCTCCAGGTGTTTCTTTATTAAGTCTATGACCCTTCTATAATGCTCTTCCTAATTGAGGAGCATTAGAATTAAATAAGAGTGCTTTGGTGCTTACATCGCAGTTATAAATTAACTAATATGTAAATGTTCCATTAAAAAACTGGTAATATACTTTACAAAATGTTTATTTTCCATATGAAAAATAAAGATGCATAACTCTAGAAATACAAAATGTACTTAAATAAACATTCTGTAAATCTTACAGATGAAAGATGATTTGCTTTCCATAGATATCATCATTCTATCCTTGTTTTAAGAGGAGTTGCTTATTTTAAATATTAATTTCTGAACTATGGATATTTTATAATGATGGGGCATACAGGGATACATGGGTAGCAACCAAAAGTTGCTTCTTGATATAAGCTACCCACATACTTAAAATTTGGTGTCAATAGGTCAAAGCAAACTCAAGTTATTAATTATGTGGAGAATGAATTTCTCTTTTTAGCAACAGCTAGTGACATTGACCTTGATCACAGATACTGGGTAGCAATCCCCAGTTGCGTCTTAATATTAAAATATGATAAACAAGATCAACAAGGAAAGGCGGTGTTCAATGAACACAACCCCCATATGACCCAGCAACAAGAACCAGTGGCAAGGAGCCCAGGCAAACCCCAAATAAAAACAGGACAAGGCAAAAGCTACCCACACACCAAATGTCCTGTCAATAAGTCACAGCTTACTCAAGCTGTTATCTGGAAACTGAATTTCTATTTTTAGCAACAGTGACCTTGTTCTTATCACAGACACATGGGTAGTAATCCCGAGTAGTGTCTTGATATAAGCTACCCACATACTAAGTTTTGTATCAATAGGCCTAAGCAAACTGAAGTTATTGAGCGGAAACTAAATTTATAATTTTAGCAACACTGACCATGACCTTGATCTTAGACACCTGGGTAGCATTCCCAAGTTGCTCTTGATATAACAGTTACCTATACACCAAGTTTGGTGTCAATAGGCCTAAACAAACTCAAGCTTTTTAGCAGAAACTGAATTCTATTTTTAGCAACAGTGACCTTGATTAGGGACACCTGGGTAGCAATCCAAAGCTGCCTCTTGATATAAGCTACCCACACACCAAGTTTGGTGTCCATAGGCCAGAGTAAACTCAAGGTATTGACAGGAAACCAGAAGTTCAACTTCAGCATTTCAATAACCCAGTTTTCATTGAAAACCTGCATAATAAAATGATTAATGTTATGATTAATATTCATAAAATTGATTAATAACAAAGACTTATTGTTTGTTTTCACAGTTGCCACAAATATCACCTGGATTTCAAAATCACCACCAAGACTATGATACAACATACCAGGTAAGATTGGATGTACTATATTTCTGCATGTTTTAAAAAAATATCCCAATGGAAAATTATGACCTATATGCCTGCAGTTTTTTTTCATTTTATAAGATAAAGTTAATATACATTATCAAAGAAAGGATTTGGCTTTACAACTATTTATAATGACCAACATTATAAACACTATCAAAAGTCTTTTTAAGTTTATTTTTAGGGTTCATGGCTATACAATAGGTGACTTTCTAGTTTTATTGGCGAAGGAAGGCATCATGTGCCCCTCTGTGCACAAACAAACAGAACCAAACTTGCTGGATCTTTTTAACTAATTTTGTATTCATGAAACAAAGTACTGTTGTCTTCAAGGGTAAAACAGTTGTTTTCTCCCTAGCCAAACATCTGCCCCAAGGTTCTATTTTGTCACTTTAAGCCATATTGGGTTTGATCCTTATATAATCTAAAGGGAGTTAACCCTTTCCGGCACCAATGTTCATTCTGTCAATTAGTAGCTTTGTACTAGATAAACATCACAAATGTATCAACAGAACATACCCATGACCCCACACTCAACTGTTTTGTAAATCTAATGACTTGAGGTCGTATATTTTTTCAGCTTCACATGACCTAAGTTGAAAATTGCACCTAGGGCAAGGGCAAAAACTCTACAAATACTGATAAATACTCAAAGCAAACCACCAGATGCATTAAACAAGAGGGCCATGATGGCCCTGAAGTCGCTCACCTGTATATAGGCCCCCAGAGCGGGGCCAGTTTAAACCCCAGGGCTTTTATTTGAACAAACTTGGTAGACACCCATTAGAAGATATTTCACGCTAAACATCTAAGGTCTAGCTCGTTGAGTTTTTTAAAAAAAGATTTTTTAAGTTTTAACTACACATATAGTTAAAAGCAATGACACCCCTAGGGAGGGGCCAGTTTTGACCCCAGGGCTTTTATTTGAACAAACTTTGGAGACACTCACTAGAAGATGTTTCGTGCTTGATATCTAAACTCTAGCTATTCGGTTTTTTTTAAAGAAGATTTTTAAGTTTTTGCTATACACATATAAGGAAAATCAATGTCCCCCGGGGCGGGGCCAATTTTGACCCTAGGGCTTTATTTGAACAAACTTTGAAGACACTAACTGGAAGATGTTTCATGCTAAATATCTTAACTCTAGCTATTTGGGTTTTTTCAAAGAAGATTTTATAAGTTTTTGCTTTACACATAAATAAAATCAATGACCCCCGGGGCAGGGCCAATTTTGACCCTAGGGCTTTATTTGAACAAACTTTGAAGACACTAACTGGAAGATGTTTCATGCTAAATATCTTAACTCTAGCTATTTGGGTTTTTTCAAAGAAGATTTTATAAGTTTTTGCTTTACACATAAATAAAATCAATGACCCCCGGGGCAGGGCCAATTTTGACCCAAGGGCTTTTATTTGAAAAAACTTTGTAGACACTCACTAGAAGATGTTTCATGCTTAGTATCTAAACTCTAGCTATTTGGTTTTTTCAAAGAATTTTTAATTCAAAGTTTTTACTATATGCATATAGGGAAAATCAATGACCCCTTGGGGCGGGGCCAGTTTTGACCCCATGGCTTTTATTTGAACAAACTTGATAGACACTCATTAGAAGATGTTTCATGCTAAATATCTTAGCTCTAGCTCTTTGGGTTATTTAAAAGAAGATTTTATAAGTTTTTACTATATGCATATTAGGGAAAATCAATGACCCCCGGGGCGGGGCCAATTTTGACCCTAGGGCTTTTATTTGAACAAACTTGATAGACACTCATTAGAAGATGTTTCATGCTAAATTTCTTAGCTCTAGCTCTTTGGGTTCTTTAAAAGAAGATTTTATAAGTTTTTACTATATGCATATAGGGAAAATCAATGACCCCCTGGGGCGGGGCCAATTTTGACCCCAGGGCTTTTATTTGAACAAACTTTGTAGACACCCATTAGAACATGTTTCATGCTAAATATCTTAGCTTTAGCTCTTTGGGTTCTTTAAAAGAAGATTTTTTAAGTTTTTACTATATGCATATAGGGAAAATCAATGACCCCTTGGGGCGGGGCCAATTTTGACCCCAGGGCTTTTATTTGAACAAACTTGGTAGACACCCATTAGAACATGTTTCATGCTAAATATCTTAGCTTTAGCTCTTTGGGTTATTTAAAAGAAGATTTTATAAGTTTTTACCATATGCATATTGGGAAAATCAATGACCCCCAGGGCGGGGCCAATTTTGACCCCAGGGCTTTTATTTGAACAAACTTGATAGACACTCACTAGAAGATGTTTCATGCCAAATATCTAAGCTCTAGCTCTTTGGGTTTTTTTAAAGAAGATATTTTAAGTTTTTTCTATCGGTTGCCATGGCAACCAGAGTTCTGCATGGAATTGAATTCTTTGAACAATTTTTAAAGGTGATCACCAACGGAACATTCCCGTGAAGTTTAGATGAAATTGGCTTAGCGGTTTATGAGGAGATGTCATTTAAAGAAAAAGTTTACGGACGGACGACGGACGGACGTCGGACGAAAGCGATCACAAAAGCTCACCCTGTCACTTTGTGATAGGTGAGCTAAAAACATGATGACCATGAAGCATAGCGTTAATTACAGAGGGAAATGGGGCCATTATTTCTACCCAAATATGACATGACAAGAGAGCCCTGAAATCAAATATTCTGAACAGATTTTATAAAGATTTAATCAATTAAAAACATAACTATATTTAGTTGTCGTTGGCAGTGATCCAGTGAAATAATTCTACATTTGTTGACATTCAATATTGTCTAGAAATGGTTCTTTGCTAGGTGAGCACATTTAAACAAACATACCAGTCCTGTTATATAACCAGTGCAGGCTTTTAGAAAATACAAATCTAATGTAACAATGACTTATAATCATTTTCAGAATTCTGAATTAAGACCTACAAGTCAGCAATACGTTTCCAGCAGTAACCAGGTATGACTTTTAAGTCATTATTCAAAACTTTCAAACAATATTATTTACACCATCAGACTAAAGAATTTGTAAGGAACATTTTTATATTGGGGATTCTATGTCAATTTATAATTATAATTACACAAAGAAGAAGAAAAAGCTTAATATTTCTGGTTTGTACAATTTATCATTTTGTAATCTTTACAATTTATCATTTTGTAATCTTTACAATTTATCATTTTGTTATCTTTACAATTTTTCATTTTGTAATCTTTACAATTTATCATTTTGTAATCTTTACAATTATCATTTTGTAATCTTTACAATTTATCATTTTGTTATCTTTACAATTTATCATTTTGTAATCTTTACAATTTATCATTTTGTAATCTTTACAATTTATCATTTTGTAATCTTTAAGCCACATTTATGAAAACATAGCCAAGAAAATGGAATGACTTCAAAGATACAAATATATAATTAGATAAGGGCTGTCACAAGCTTAAAATTTAAGTTCAGTCACAGTTATAAAACTGCAAAATGTTAGATTAGTAAACAATGAACATTAATTGCTTCAATGATTTCTTATTGTTTCAGTATGTTGACTGGTGGCAAAATGGACGTCAGCTATCAATTAATTCCAACACAAGCCATGTAAGACTCTAGTTTATTTTCAATTATCAGACCAACATTTCAGTAGCAAAATAAACATTAAAGTGTTCTGACATGGGACTCTTATATAACATCTACAAATGTGTAAAGGCCTGCTAGAGAGTGATGGGGTTGATCTTATTGGGCATTATACTATCAGGCCATCAAACCATCTAGAGACTTCACAATATATGACAAAATTGGCCAGACAGTTTAAAGCTGTCAATTCAAGAAAATGTGTCCATAGGTCACAAACATGCCGCGTTAGCAGTCCGACAACATTACAGCAAGACAGGGGCATACATGTGATATCTCAGTTGGAATTAAAATTAATCCTTATACAGTCTACTCCACTTATATACATACATATAAAAATACTTTTTGAGCTTCAATTGTGACACAAGAGAATGAACAAGGGTAAATCTAAATGCCCCCCCCCCCCCCTTAAAATTGGGGGCACAAAAAACTTGTTATTTTGAGGGGAATTCGGGTTCTTTATACCAAGCGTGCCAACTACACTTTGAAATCCAGTCGATAAAAATCTTTAGTGCCTCAATCCACCAATAAATCAAATTTGACCTATTTCAGTTGCCATTGTCACATGTATGCAGGGGGACAGTGGGATGAATGGCTAAGGACAAATCAATTCCCTTTCCAAAGAGGCAGCATAAAAAGTAGTCACTTAAATTCAAATATATATTCAAATATGCCTGGAGTACTTTCAGCAATTATTAGACAGAAGTATTTTTATCACCTTATACTAGTTTATATTTGTTATCTAATGAAATTTACATTTTCTGAGGCACTAAACTATTACCGTTTGATGCTTCAAGACTGGTCCATCAAAAATATTGATGCTTTAAATGATTGTCTTTATTTAAAGGTGTCATCTGCAACATATGAAAGTACCCAATCATCTGTTGAAAGTTTACAGCAACACTTCTCTAAACAAATGCAGTTTAAGGTATGTAAAAGCTTTAAATGCTAAAATTCTCACTTACGAAAATACAAGAGTTGTATCATCATACATTTTCAAACAGAACTAAAACCACTAATTCTTCAAGTATAATATTTAACTTAGAGTCATAAAAATTTACCGGTAATACAAAATTAAGCGAGACCCTGACCTTGACCTGAGGAAGGTCAAACCTGCGCTCTGCACATTGTCTCATTATGGTAAACATTTCTTCCAAGCAGTTTTAATTTCCTTTCACTGGCACAAAAGATACAGACAAGACATGAAAACTCCTATATAAGACTTAATCAATTAATCACCGGGCAGGGCCGACTTAGATCTCAGGAAGCCCAAACCCGTGGTCTTCACACCGTCTCATTATAAGTAATATTTCTGTTGAAAAGTTTTTAATTTCTTACAATGTGTTCAAAAAATATATAGCTGACACAAAATTTTAAAATAGATACAAAATCAGTGTGACCTACACCTTGACCTCAAAGAGGTCAAACCTGCACTCTGCATATTGTCTCATTATGGTTAACATTTCTGCCAAGTAGTTTCTATTTCCTTTCACTAAATAAATAAACTGACTAAACAAAATATTTCAGACTCAACAAGGCAGTAGAGCGAAAAAGGAAACAACGAAAGCTGCTCAAAGGAAGGTGAGGGTAAGTTATAACATTCAGATGGCAGTAAAAGTTGCTTGATATCAGAATTATTATGTATCCAATTAAGGACACTTTCTAATTGAAATTTTCTTTAAAGTCATGCAGATTTTTCAAAAGTTGTAAATTTCACCAGGTTTCTACTTTCCAAATAAGCAGTTTTTGTGATAATTTTTCACAAAAGCATGTGCTCATAAGACCTCTACCCAATAAAAAGAAAACAACAGCAACATTGTGGCAAAATACCCCAATCATAAAAGCTTTTTATGGACATGTGAGCATTATAGAAATCCATCACAATTAGCTCTAAGTGTGACCTTGACTTTTGAACTGGGTCAGGTATTAAGCACATTATTTAATGGTTGCAAAAAATTTTACATTCAACATGAATCCTGCACATCCCCTTGTTGAGGTGAACATTTGAGCCAAGTTTGAAGAAAATCTTTCAATTGGTGTAGGACTTACAGAGTAAGTACACGACATACTGTCTAATATTTGATTGTTTGATATTTGACCTTCAATTGTGACCTTGACCTTGAGCTGATACATGGGCAACATGGATTCTGCACATCCCCTTGTTGAGGTGAACATTTGAGCCAAGATTGAAGAAAATCCTTCAATTGGTATTGAATTTATAGAGCGGACACTAACTAAAATGGAGACGGACCGACCGACGCGACAAAGCGAATCCATTATAGCCCCCCCCCCACACCACAATTTGTGGTGGAGGTTTAATAACTGCTCTGATTTTTATACTTGTACCAATTTCTTGCATTAAAAATTATAACTGATTAATAATATATGTATGATATGATGACAAATATATTATTTAAACTTTAGCTTGAATTATGACTAGGACATACACATTGATAAAAATTAATATACGACCCAATGCATACTTGATTTTTTTCGAACTTCTGTTGTAACACATGACCATGTTGAATGAATTATCTTCTCCATTTTACATTGGCAACTGCATAAGTAACAAAATAGGTTATGCAAAGAAGAAACACTGACATCATCATTTCTTGCATATCAGACTGGCGTTTTCGTTAGTTTTACCCATGCCGGAAATTTCATCTGGCATGGGGGGTTCCAGATGAGTCGCGTGCTGTACAATGGCACGATAAAGATGACGTCATTTTACCGTTATGAATGATTTTGTAATTCATACGCTGTTGAATGAAAGTAGTTACGGTTGTAATGATATAAATTTTCATTGAAAATAAAGATAAAGACTTTAAAACATAATGGAATATGGTAGAATATGCAAGAAAAAATATCTGACATATGTTTGCGGTTCGGATCAGAATATCCGTCCCTCGGTCACCCGCCCATGGGCGGTAACTCGGCAAGCCTCGTTACCGCCCAATGGGCGGATCACCTCGGGACGGATATTCCGATCCGTACCGCAAAATATGACAGATATTATTAATATTAATGCTTCTGTCAACATTCTTTCTTAAATTCAGATGTCAGTATCAATGGATTTACATATTCAATCTAACTAAAGCAGTATTTACCTTTATTTCATCTTTTTTTTCGTTTTACTATCTGAAAGCTAGTGGCTTTCATAATCATTTTGTTTTTCATTTTTCATCAACAGACACCAAGGCCTAACAGTCCAAGATGTCAGAGCCGCCAGCCTGAGCTTGATATTAAAGATCAAATCCTGGTAAATTTTTTTGTACTTTTGGACTAGTAATCTAAAGATTGCTGACCGCCAGGGTTCAAACCCTGTCAGGAGCAAGCCGTTGTTTCCTTGAGCAAAAAACTTTACATTCATTGGTTAGGACTGGTTGGTTCCAGGAACGGATTCGAGAGTGTTGCAATAAGCTTATAGCTTCCAACACAATCAAACTAAAACAAGAGCCATGTCCACATGGCCATCCCCCGCCGAATGTGTTTGTTCATTGGAAGAATGTATATGTAGTAGAGCAGAATAATTACATTTTAAGAGGTCTTTTGGTAATGAAAACTGATGGCTATAGTGATTACAGATTTGAAACCTATGAGAATACTGATGGCTGAAAATAACAAAGGGCAATAACTGAAAAATAATGCAGGGTAGGTTATCATTCTTGTGTGCTGCATCCCTCCTCAGTAAAATCTATCCACCTATGAAGTTTGAAGTTGATACCTCAAATACTTTTTGAGAACAAAATTGAATTGAAAAATTAAGTATGAAAAATAACAAAGGGCAATAACTCAAAAAATATAAAAGGTAGAGTTATCATTTTTGTGCACTGCACACCTTCTGAGTGAGATCTATGCACCTATGAAGTTTCATAATAATATCTCAAAGGCCTTTTGAGTTATGCTCTGGACAAAAATTAATTTTGAAAAATAAAAAAAGGGCAATAACTAAACAATTATGCAGAGTAGAGTTATCGTTCTTGTGCACTGCACTCTTCCTCAATGTGGTCTATCCACCTATGAAGTTTCAAGTTGATAACTCAAATACTTTTAGAGATATGCTCCGGACAAAAATGTCGGACGGTAGGACGGTCGGACGGAAGGTCGGACGGGCGGATGGAGACTATTTCTATATCCCCCGCCGCCTTTTCGGCGGGGGATAATAAATTTGTATCAACTAAAAGTACATGGTTTCAGTATCAAAATACTTTAACTGATTCAGCCACAGCAAAAAGTCTGACTACATATGCCTATATGTCATTATAAGCCAGACACTCCATGTAAGTATGTTGAATTTTTGCATCTTGTTTACACTGTCACATATTTGTATTGAACTTGTACAAATAAGCATATGTGCACACCAAAAAAAACAGAGAATGACATTATAATAAGTGTAGGAGATATGCTCTGGACAAAATATAGATATTTCATCATCTTCAGTGACCTTGACCTTGCATATATTGACCTAAATTACAAGTGTCACAATTTTTGTGATTATAATGACCATTTGTTTTACAATCCCTCAAGAAATGATGACTAAATGGTACCTTTACATATTTTCATATTTCTATTTTAAATTTGACTGCTAAATGTGACCTTGACTATAGCCACTGGGACCTGGACTTTCCTCCCGACACTCCAACTCACAATGGTGAACATTTGTGCAAAGGAATAAATAGTGAGATCCCTCTTTGCATGTAGAAGTTTTGCTTTGGACAAGCATTTTTCAATGGTCTCTAAGTGTGACCATGACCTTTGACCTGAGACCTTGTTCATACCCGTGACAAGGCTTCTCATAGTGGTTAACATTCTATGAAGTTTTATCAAAATCCCTCCATGTGTGTAGGAGATATGCACCAGACAAAAAGTGGTTGCCAAATGACCAGTTTTTCAAACGGGCATGTAAAAACAAGAATGTTTTTTGGTAAACACAAATGCCCCCAGCCCAGATTTTTGTCAGTACGAAGGTTTGCCTATTCACTCGGTTATGGAATGAACAATTGCCAACAAAAATGTTAATGCACTTATATAACTTGTGAGAGTCATGACCTTTTGTTTGTGTAAAAAAGTAAACAAATGGTAATGCACCAACACACTAAATTCAGGGCTGTCCATGTCTACATCATATCGTTGACTTCAAACCGCACTTGCCTGCACTGCTGTGGCTTCGAATCCTGCCAGAGGCACCTAAGAAACATTCATGTAAGGAGCTATAATCCAGCAAGTTTACAGAACTATTCTACGTTGGTGTGACATAACTTATTCCGTACCAAAAAAATACTGCTTACCAACTCCTACCACCCCCAACCAAAAAAATACTGTACAGATATAGTACTCCCTACAGGTACTGCATCCGTGCCAAATCAGGTGTAATCAGAAAATATGTTTTACACACTGAACACCTAAACCAATTGACTGTTTCCACCATTAAAGTGAAAATTGAAGTGCTCTTTTTTTTAATTTGGATAAAAATTGTTAGAAATATTTTCATTTCAAATAAATTTCTGTCATTGATAAGAAAATCTAAAGCTGCTCAGGGGTTCTGAAAATGCTTCTTTATTGTACCACATATTTACAAGTTAAACTGATAATTTCACGTGACAAGTGAATGTCTTCTGCTAAAACTGTAGTAAGGTCATATTCTGTTGAAAAACATTCTACTAAAGCCAAAAAGGACCATCAATTTACAAACTACAGTATCATAGTACTCTCTGTTTTTTAGGCTCCTGTTCAAAACAATTGGCTGACTGATCATAGATGTTTCTAGTTTAAATCATTGAGTTATTCTGTAAATGACATGTGTATTTTAAAGTTAAGATTGACAGTTTAACATAATTTAATATAATAGTAAATACCAGCTCTTTTTATTTAAACAATTTGCTGGATTTAAATAATAAGAACAATGGTACCATAGGGGACCATCCTATATAAAAATTCAACTAGTTTAGGACAAACATGTATAACACTGTTTACAATTTTGATGAAAGCTTGTAACTTGTAGTATTTATATTATTTCACTTTAACAGCATGCATTTAATTACTTCAATCAATTACAGTCAAACGTGTATTAAGCGACCGCACAAGGGAAACACCCAAAATGGTCGCTTAATAAAACGGTCTCTTAAGACAGTCAGCATGATATAAAAGTCAAATTATATAAATGACATCTTTTTTATGCGGTGGGAATGTTTTTCAACTTCATTTTTATATATATAAATGTTGAGTAATAAGTACGCTCCGATAATCATGTAAAAAATAATTTCTGATATTTATTGACAAAACTGTTTTGATCCATTACGTACATATTTGACATTTTTTCCAGAATTTTTTAACTTCTCCGTTGTTTTTCCTTGTCTCCAACACGAAAACCCTATTAGTGAAGATGTTTTCTGTTGTGCATTTTTTCATTTGAAATAAAAAAAACTACATCTAATTGTTACGATTAATTTAATGGCTGATCAAGTTCAAGGTCAATTAAATGCAGTCTAAATGTCAACAAGCGAAGCGTATACACCATCTCAGTAGGGGCGGAGCGTTGCATTGTTTATCCGATATTATTGGATAATACCCGTCACGCGTATACTTAACTTCATTTGCATACGCTAAAACGGTATAGAGTAAAATAAAGTATAGAGTTTTTCACAAGTTTATTTGTTGTGTTTTGATTGTTGACACTTGTGACATTACGAGGTGGCGTTCTCTAAAAACACAATTACTTGACAGGTAAAAGTGGTCGTTTAATGAAAAGATTGATCTCAATTAGGTGACTAATTAGTGGTCGCTGGTCGCGTTGAGCAAAAGTCGCTTAATATATTAAAGATATAGAGAGAAAAAGATCGGGGGGAATTTAAAGTGGTCGTTTAAGACAAAAGTCGCTTAATACACGTGGTCGCATGGGCAAGTTAGACTGTATAACATTTTCCAAATGATCTTCAATATGTCATAAATACAGTAAACAAAGAAATAACATAATTACCATATAAAAATTTTATTTGCTTTTCTTTTTCAGATTGGGTCACTGGAAACACTTAATGATATTGTTCTTGAAAATATCCTATCAAAAGTGAATCTTGAAGCAATAATGTTCATCGACTTGGACAACATCGGCAAATTTTTTGAGTTATTGCCTAAACACTTGCCAGAGACTTTGTACATTGTTGGCTTCAACGGAGGGGACAAGAACTGGAAAGCATTGCACAGTGTAGCACTTCAGCATCATGTACAAAATGGTTTATTTGCCCTTGTTCGTTGTGGAACTGACAAAGATGCAGCAGACAAAGACCTTGTAACACTGGTGATTATTTTGCTTAAAGTCTTTTACTTTTTATGTTCTTTTTGGATTTCTTGAAAGGAACAAAAAAAACAACAACTGATTATGCCTTTAAAAGCGAAAAAATGTTTGCAGTTGTCATACCTTCTCAGAGATCAAATCATATTAGCAATTTAAAGTTTAATTCTAGTCAAACTGCACTACACATCACATGCACTTGCACTCCCTGTGTGATTTTCAAGATTAATGTCATTAGTTATGAAATGATACCATATGTAAGGGGTGTGGAAATCCTACTGCCCCACACTTTTCCTACTAGGGACTTAATGCCAGTGGACAAGTGGATTTTTCCATAGAACTTAACCATTGAAAAGTGTTAATCTGAGCTACTTGTAGATATAATAACATACAATATTTCTATCCTCACCAATTGGGAACATTTATTCTAGTAAGTTACCAAATCTTAGTTAACTATGAGTATTTACTTTTTCTAATCAATAATTTCCAATCAATAATTTCCTCTCATGGAAGAACTTATGTAGGAAAGTGACATCAGCAAGCACTCAGGCTCCCTGATTCATCTAGGTCATAATAGGGAGCCAATCACTTGATGTTATAAGTCCAGCATGCCCATTTTAGTATCAATTGTCTAGACTAGTTGTTTAGGGTAAGTTATTTATAATTGCACTCATTGAATTTTCCTAAGGTTGCAAAAATAATTTCTAAGGTCCTTTCAATTATTAGAAAAATCTGCTTAAATCTTACTATGAAAGGACACTTATTATTACCTCTCATTAACTTTCATTAACACACATGCTTAATGAAAGTATATTTATATAGGGAAAGTAAAGTAAACCGGAGGACAAGTAAAATGTTTGCCCAAATAACTTGTCTGTGGGAATGTGGCAAAAACTTGTATTTCAACAGTGACCTGCCAAATGTACTCAATTAACTTAAATAATTGGAAGCAGGTTTAAGATAAAGACCACTGGAGTAAATATATTCCATATATTTACATTAATAAAGGAAACAGGACTCTGAGCCAATATTTTAGGATAATGTATAACAAGGCCTAACCTAAAAAGGTTAGAATTATTCTCCCAAAGAATATTGTAGCAAAGGCTAAAACTACAATATAAAATGTAAAAGAAATTAGCAATAAATGCCACAGATTTGTAAAGATATGAAAATTATACTGGGGATAATTGCTGACAATTTCTTCATTTCAGGCACAAAACATTGACAGTGCAATAACAGACCACCACAAAACTTTTTTAATTGTTTCTAAAAATTGTGGATTCTACACATGCATTAAAAATGTGAAAAGATATGTACAGATTATGGATCCCAGGCAAGAGCCTCTTCAAGAAAATATCTACCATATCGTGATGAATCATTTAAAATGGCATCGAAAGAAGCAGTAAAACCTGTTCTATGACAATGTGATATATAAGGGACCAAAATAATTATCAATTAAACCATGTTGTCACATTATTTTCATTTATTTTCAGGCAGAAAGAATTGACAGTAGAATACCTCAAAGTATCACTTTCTTTATACTATCTGGGGATGGTGGATTTTTCAACTTCATTCATACAGCAAACAGACATGTTCAGATACAAAATCCACATAAGACCTTAGTTAAAGAAAATCTGTACCATGTCATATTAAATCATATGACACCTTACTAACTCAAAAGCTCCTACATTTCATCTTTAACCCTGCTGAAATCATGCGACGGAATTGACCTTTTTAATTTGGAACCATCAATTCATAGGTTATGAGAATTTAATATCGAAATGCAAGAAGAACCTGTGTTTGGTAACGCAAACAATAGACCTTGTTAAAGATTCTTGTCAGTATCAAATTTGTTAAAAAGGGGAAATTACTCAAATTGTAAACATAGTTATATGATACAATCTTGACAGTCATAATCTTTTGTTCTTGCCATGGCAAAAAAGAATGGAATGTCATTGCTTTTTGATGAAAAATATTCATCTTGATATTAAAGGTTAACCACGTTTGTAAACACAATACCTTGATCTTGCACCCAGTGACCAAAGACCATGAATCACCTAAGGTACCTAACTACCAAATATAAAGACAATAAGATTAAAAGATGAAGGTGTATAATTCTATTTTTAGCACACTGACCTTAACCTTATGACTTAATTACCCAGACCGTTCCTAAGCTACAGGGCCAATCAAATTAAACTCCTACAAATATGAAAGATACCAGCCAATGTAAAAATCTACTCTTAGCATTGGATATCTTGAATGACCTTAAATCCAGAGACTAAAAACTTCACAAAAATAAGGTTATCCGATAAATTTGAAAGACACCAGTCAGTAAATAATGGTTTAATGAGCTAAAGTATAATAATTATTTTAAACCGTGGTGACCTTTACCTTGACCCCAGTGAGCAATATCTCATATTAAAGCTGAAGGACCATTATATGTACTGGTACTATCATTTATGGAAGACATTGGTCTATAATTGAAGGCTGTTAGACCAAAAGTGTGAAAATTTATTTTAAGAATCAGTGACCTTGACCTTGATCCAAGACATCCAAAATTCCATCCAAAGTATGAGGGGCATCCAAAGTAAGAGGGGCATCCAAAATTCCATATCCAAAGTAAGAGGGGCATCCAAAGTTACCTACCTACTTTAAATGAGCAGAACTAAAACTCACAGTCTGGAATAGGTTAAACTTTACAAAGTCATACTTTGAAAATGCTAATTAAAATTTTAATACCTGGGGGAAAATAAATGGCAAACTTTTGTAACTTGCCAAGATTATGGACTTTGCAATGATATAAAACTGTATTGACTCACTAGTACAGATAAAAATTATAAGGATAAATCAAACTTTCTTGGATAGGTTAACGATGCAATGACAAGATTCTATTTTCAAAGTGGGAAAAAAAGTGAATCAGTCTGAGAAATGGAAACAAATGGACAGTTAGAGCTTGAGATGTTATCCATTTTTTTCCATGCCATTTTGGGTTAAACCCATAAAGACGAACAGATGGACAGACAAAAGGTCTTCCTAAGCAGACTGATGTTAGATGGGTTTCTCCTCTTTGATCTCTAAATCCCTGTAAGCAACCTCTTGTCTCCCTATATAAGCAACTTACTTCCTAACAAGTAAAGTCTGTACAGAATGAACATGAACATTCATCCTATCAATATGTGGCTTATGAGTGATTGTGGAGGGATTGATCAGTATCTATATGCATCGGGGAATGAAAAATGAGCTTCCATCAGTATAGAACAAGTCAGACTTATATAATACAAAAGTTCAGACTGCCTTGGTTTTATACTGCTAATTAAAGACTAATATCACATTCATTTGCTGAATTACTACAAACATACATCATGCAGTTTGTTTAGTTTATTAAGTTTTTGGGTTTTGTTTTATTGCCATTGTTTATTTATTTATAACTGTTAACTCTTTCCTTCAGTTACTAAAATGATATTTGAGCTTCCAAAAAAAATCTTTTGAAACCTAGATTTCTTTAAACTTGCCGAAAATTTTTATATAACATTTTTACATGCTAATTGCTTTTGACATTTTTAAATTGTTTGATACAAAAAAGCATGATAATAGCTTGATTTAAAGCTTGCTTTAATGCATCACAGTTAAGCTATGTGATCATTTAAATAAAATTTACTGGAAATGAAAGCAATATAAAATGACAACATGATTTTGAACATTTCCATTATTCACGACAAGTTTGGATCAAACACAGTGTCTTGTAACTTGTTGTAACTTGTTTTAACTCTGCCAAACATTTTCTGTATAAAATACCTCATTACTGATATTATTAATGGTATAAATGGTGCAATGTATAATTTGAGCCACATCATGACAAAACGAACAAAATGGGTTTGCAACCAGCATGGATGCAGACCAGCCTGCGCATCCTATTACAAGAGGAGTCTGATAGCGAACAACATGGATCCTGATCACTGCGCGGATGCGCAGGCTGGTCTGGATCCATGCTGGTCGCAAACCCATAATGTTGGTTTTGTCATGACGGGGCTCAATTATTTAAATCACACATCTAGTCTCTACCTAGATATTTGTTAAAGGGTATAAAGCTTGTTATCTTAGGAAATTTTTTTACAAAAGTTTATCAATTATTAAAGAGTAAAATTATATAGTTTTCATAATCTTATAAAGAAGTTTTAACATACAATGTCTCTGATATTTTATACATATCGTAAAATTTCTATTAAACACCCCAGCTAGGGGGCTCAATATTTTCCGGGGGCGTGGTGCTGGTAATATTATTACAAAAGTCCAAAAATTTATTGAAAATTCATTTAGTGTTAACAAGTGCTGGTTACAATAACATTATAAAGTGTTAAGATTGATATGATTCATTTTTGTGTATACTATAAAATAAAATGGATTTGAATGAAATTATGGATTTACTCAGTACAGCACTGATGAGTAGATTTTTCCATATAAAATTTATTAGGGGAAGGGCATTTAATAGGAATTTTGCGGCATCAATAAAATGTAAGTTAATATAATAAGATGTTCCTGGGCCAAATATATATGCTGCTGATCTAAAAGAGATTTAACTGTTTAGCAATTATTTGGTGAATGGGCCATTTGCAAATTTTTGAAAGTTCTAACTTCAGCAACAGATATATAGCTTTATATGCTTTAACACATATTGTTTCCACATGTTATAAAGCCAGACATACTGCGTTAGTATGATAGTTAGATATTTATTTCATTTATTGTGTTCATTTTATTGTAAAAAATTTAAAAACTGTATTTTTAGTAGGAGTTTTTAATGTTTTCACACACTTTTATATCTTTCAATTAAGCCAGTATTGTAGATTGTGTTACAGGCACATTATACCTCAGAAACAAGGCAGAATATTTTAACTTCTATAACATGAATTTTATCATGTTTAAATAATGGTTTTAGAGAATGTTAGATGTTTGTCACTTGGAAAAAAGTTAAGTGATTAAAGTGAAATAACTTGTCATAAAAGTAGCAAAATGTAAACAAAGTAGTATTTTGACTTCCATACAAAATACTAATTCACCATAAGTGTATTATTTGCCAAAAAGCAACAGATCAAAAACTTTTTTTAAGATGGAGTCAGGTATTTGGTCAATCATTATAGTAACGTTTTGGATACTATAAAAGTACACCAAAAATTACAAAGCTTTTTTGAAAATAAAGAAAAGCATTTTATGAGGCATAATAGGCCTTTAAATATGGCATTTTTACATAATGTTCATCATCTATTGGAACAATTACTTTAGAATGTACTCTCTTTTATTTGTGTATTCAGTAAATTGATAAACATTTTGATTGTTAAATATGTTAACGTTTTTAAAGTCAGGCATTATGCCCACCAAAGTGTAAATGTTGAGTTTAAAGGGTAAAAATCAAAATAAATTTTTTTCCACAATTGTTTTCAATTTGACATTGTACTTTACATGACAAAAACAATTAATAATTACTTATCATTTGTAGTAAAAATTATTTTTCTGTAACTTTACTTGTATACTAGTAATTTTTATTATAAATACCAAGAAGTGCTAAATAAACTGTTAATTTTTAAATGAGGTTTAGTAAATGTTGATTGCATGTAATCTTTGTTACATAATGTATGTATATATTGTTATGTTACATTGTAATTGTATGCTGAGCTCCACATGGAAGATCAGAAAACAGAATATGCTAGCCTCATTAAATAAAGTTGTTACAGACTTAAAAAAAGTTATTATCATTTCAGGACAAGTCAACTGCTTAGTTTGAAAAATGAACCTACCCACCCTGCATTTTTAGGGCCAATTTTCGGCAAAAAATTTTACCCATTGATTTCTCCAAAAAGTACAGATTTCCCCAATTTCTGAAGAAATTTTCTATTATCCATTTTATCGCACAAATCATTTATCAGTTTTTCCAAATATCAAATGCGAGTGTAATGTATCTTTAATAACTGTGAGGGACCTTAACCCTGATCCTCAAAGGGACATCTCTTCAAAAGCATGCTATATACAGTAGAACTTCCATGAATAGAACTTCGATTAGTCGATTTTCTCGATGTGTCGAAGTAAAATGAAAGTCCCGATTTTTCCCTTATATATTCCTTATAAAAACCTTTCTATGAGTCGAGATTTTATGTGTCGAAGTTTTTTCGTGGTCCATATAGAATAAATCTAGTACAATTTACCACAAATAAGTCGAAGTTATTCGGTTATTTTTACACCTTCGATCTCGAGACATTTTCACACATTTTCTGGCCGCGAAGACGATTTCCGATCAACTTTAGTGACAGGTGTAAATTACAAAGCCGAGTGTTCAAACAGCCTTTGTATGCATTTAAATGTGTGAAAAAGTGCTTTAATCACTACTATTTTAATTGCCGTAGCGGTATTTGAAAGAACATGTAAACAGTAAGAACTATCATTTGAGTACTTCCGTGACTCGGTGTCGCGTGATAATTACATGCGAAATATTTACTATAAGCTGGTTTAGTTATTGCCCTTTCGTATTGTTACGCCTTTTGTAACTTCATTGTATACGTCAACAGGGAGTCCAAATCATTAGCCGTGAAAAGTTAACATGTCATATTTATCATTGTATAATGTAAAATATCAGATTAATGAACGAAAGAAATACTTGAAATAGGTTATGTTATAGATCTTATAATAAGGGCAAGTCACGGGTTGAATTTTTGTTATGAAATTCAGACCGATTCATGTGTCGAAGTCCCGATGTGTCGAAGTTTTTACGCAAGTCCCTCCAACTTCGACTTACCGAAGTTCTACTGTACTTGACCCTGACCCTCAGAGGGAAATCTCCTCAAAAGCATGCTATAAACTTGACCCTGACCCTCATAGGGACATCTCCTCAAAAGCATGCTATATACTTGACCCTGACCCTCATAGGGACATCTTTTCAAAAGCATGCTATATACTTGACCCTGACCCTCAGAGGGAAATTTCCTCAAAAGCATGCTATAAACTTGACCCTGACCCTCATAGGGACATCTCCTCAAACCATACTATAAACTTGACCCTGACCCTCATAGGGACATTTTCTTGAAAGCTTGCTTTATACTAAGAGTGATTCCTAGCTGACTACCAGTAGTTATAGACCAGAGACAACCTGTTTGACACCGGAGTCTAAGTGCCAAACCACCGAACCATCAAAATCTGTCATTAACCAATCTAATAACCAGGATTTTCAAAATTTGTTTAATAAAAGTCTGGCCTGAATGTGTAGAGGTACTGACTGTAACTTCTTGACTGCATCATTAAAACTGAATTTAGGCTGATCACCGTATCCTATTTCATCTACAAAAAATTGCATGTTTAAATTTCGCTAGTATCTTATAATTATGATAAGTAGTGGCCTTCAACGTGATCATACATGTGAACTTTTTTTGATGATCAAATGGGTGATTTTTCTTCAAAAAGAGGGAGATTGAAGAATTTTCAATAAACAAATGAAGATCTGACATCAAAAATAGGGAGATTTCTGTAATTTGTGAAAATACTCATTTTATGAAAAAATCTTTGAAAATATGGCTGCAGAAAGTGTGAGTCTCCCGCTAAAAGTGGGAGAGTCCACATGTATGCGTGACAATTATCAAGTCAAGTTCACACAACAAACACAAATTAAGGCCATAATTATCTAATTATTGACGCAAAATTAAGTATAGTATAAGCTTCCCTGGTCTAAAGAAAAGACGTCTCGAGGGAACAAGTGAAATAAAAGACATACAAAATTTAGTCCTAAATTTCGCCCTTTAGAGGAGATAATTATTGCATGTTACTTTAAGTCAAATTTTATGGACAAAATAGGACACAGTAGCTGATGCTTCAAAATATCCCATGTTTATAAGTACTGTCTCTGTGATCGACAATCTTTTAAAGTGTCAGTTAAAAAGCAACAGTCTTACCTGATTAACAGTCCAATAAATGACCCCTGATGTTGTATCTAATGCCATTCCTTCCACCATATGAACCTTGCTGTACAGTGTTCTAGGTCTCCTGTATCAATGATGGATAATTCAATTACTCTTAGCAAATCTATGTCATTCTAAACTTAATGTTTTGCAATTAAAAATGTGTTTGTTTGATTGGCTTCTACTTCACACTGACACAGTATAGGTCTTTATCATAATGGGCACTTTTCAGCTTTACTAGTGGAAGAAGACCTGAGGTGCCCTTCCATGCATTATTTCAGGGAACAGGCACCTGAGTTGAGAACCACAGACAGTCTGGATAGCTTCCTCACATGAACAAATCCTAAGACCTGACTTAACCACTTGGCCACAGATGCCCTTCAATTGAAAAAAGCCACACTATATGTATACTGTAAAAGTTAAGTTCAGTAAGTGAGGCGGAAATATTGGTGAATTTCATGAATTGACAGAAATCTCTCAAATTTCCTCAAGCATAAAATTAATATCAACCAACATATCATTTAATTCCATCCTTTTATGATTCCCTAATATTTCCCCAAACAACAAACTGTCTTGAATTTTAAGTTTGCTAATATTTTGACACGCGGTAATATCCATTTATAGATTAATATTTCAATTTTATCAAAGCTTGAGTAAGTTTTTGGCATGAAAAATAAATGTACGGTTAGGATTACCTGACCAGATACCAGAAAAAAAATGCTCTGCCCTCTAATTATTTCTGTTGATTGACTGGTTTGTTTTATTTCAAATAATAAAGGTCATTAAAGGCATATTTCCAGCTGGACTGGTAGAGAAAAACCTTGGTGCCAGACTAAATGCAGGCATGTATAAGCTGACACCTGAGTAATGAACCAACCACATCCCCTAAATTTAGCTGAATAGCTTCCTAACTTAAAATAAATAACAAGTCCTTAGCTGGATTTGATCAACATGGCCTTTAATGACTTCCATTAAGTTATGTCACTGAATGGGATAACTTCAAGCAAACATGAGGTGCCATTCTGTTGGTGATTATAGAACTAACAGTTCTTGCAAGATATTCCCATCATTTTCATGTTACTATTCGACTTTTAAATCTTCATTTATTCAGTTTCTGCAAGCATTATGTACCCATAAAAAATTTTATATATGGCATGCCACATACTTTAAGCTTCATAAAATGAAAGAATTTAATTTCAACGGAGAGACCAACACAAATATTTTGAGAGTTTAGATACCTTACCGTGGATATTTCAAAGATATTGTGCGTATTTCTCGTGTGGTATCATCATGATAGAATATCCTGTCACCAACTTTATCATACACCAAACAGTTCACCTCAGTTTCAACAATTCTTCTACTCCGGAAACCATGGTTACCAATAAAATATGTTGGTACTTCATAGATACCAGAAATGCTGGACACCAACAATGACTCACCTCCTTCCTTTCCTATGTATCAAAAGAAAAAAAAAATTTTTTGTATGAATCTAATCATACTGCCAATCTATATATGACAAGATTCTATCAAATATTAAAAATAAAAAGTTTCTTGACAAAAAGAATAATGTAATAATGTGTTTGTCACTCAAGGTAATGATTATGAAACAAAACTTAAACCAAAACTGAAATCTATATAGGGTCAAATTATATTTATACTATAATATATAGAGGATATTGAATGAGTGTAAGTTCAATACTGAATTTATTGCACGAGTTGAATAAAATTATATTATGCGAGCCTCTGGCGAGCATAATATTATTTTATTTAACGAGTGCAATAAATTCAGTAATGAACTTACACGAATTTAATATTCTATTTATCACATACCCAAAATAAAGACCGTTTAAAGTGAAATAAGAGTCATTTTTCATTGACGCGCCTATAGTCTAACGCTGACATTTAGCGCGTCTTTACACTATGTTTGTATAACGCTAATGACGTCACGTCAAAATATATGCACGGCCGTGCAATACCATATTTACGGAGTCGCAAAATCGGCACGGGTGTGTGATAAATATATATACTATTTATACTCGGATAAATTAATTCAACACTAACTTGAGCAGTTTCCTTCTACATCCAGGTACATATCAACTGGGCAGAGACATCTGTGGCCATAGTGATTGTTGCTAGGCACACAAAGGTGACTGCATGAAGAATTGTCACATGGATTTGCTGAAATTAAAACTTTTTAACATTGTAGAGATCAGTCACAAGTTTCTAAGACGACCTGGTTGTTACGAGGACTCAAACGTTGATAAGGGTTCATTAATCAATTGTAGTTTATAAGGTCTAAATTGTTGCTATTGAGAGCTAAATAGCTGCTAAAAAAACAGTACTGAACTACAGTAAAAACTGTCTTAGCGACCCCCTGTATTATAGCGACGTTCTGTCTTTAGTGACCATAGTTAGGTGCGCCGAACAGTATTTACTATATAAATGGTCTGTATGTAGCGACTCCCTGTCTAGTCCGTACAATGACCATGATTTAGTCACCCATTACGGTATTTGAGCTGTGAACAGCGACTTTTGCAAGGGGAGCAAGGCTTGAACTAGGTGACGACTTTGGCGAAGAATTCGCCTTCGGATCAGCGACTTTGCCTAAAACAAACTTCAAAGAGATTTTGAAAGCGCCCGATTTTTATAATTTTCCGTCATACTTATTTACGCTGCTAGGTCTGTTAATAATTTGTTTACCTCTCAATTACAACCAATTTCCGTTAATCCGCTAATTAAGAACGCGTGTCAACATCAACTAAGTTCAATACACGCCGCAAGGCAAGAGTTCACTATGTTTATTTTTCTCATTTCGTTTTCATGTGATTGACGAATCAGAACGCGCGTTGTATCTACAGCAGTTTGCATTGACCAATCTGCGACACGCTAATACACTGTGGCTGTTTGTTGACAATTACACAAAATGGCGACAGATTCAATCAATTTTCGCCGATAGTATGATTTAAGACACCTGCATATACATAAATGCTGCGGTGTTTTGGCGAGTAAAGATAAACAATGCCAAACGTCTTAAAGGTGTGGTTATGTTTGAAACCTCGATTGTTAATTTTTTTCGGAGCACTTATCTGTAGAAATGATGTGAAGATTTGTATCTAATGTTTTATTAATGCATTGAACTCCGTAAAGTAAACAGGCTGATTATACAAAATTAAATGTCTCTACAGTAACATCTCATTAGAAAAATTGAAATTAAACATTTTTTAACAAACAGATTTATCAATATAAATTACATTTTCATGAATATGTAACTTTTAAATACAGTCAAACGTGTATTAAGCGACCGGGCAAGGGAATCACCCAAAACGGTCGCTTAATGAAACGGTCTCTTAAGACAGTCAGTATGATATAAAAGTCAAAATTTATAAATGACATCTTTCTTATGCCGTGGGAATGTTTTTCAACTTCGTTTTTATATACATGTTGAATAATAAGTACGCTCCGATAATCTAAATGGATGCAAATGTAAAAAATAACTTTCTGATATTTATTGACAGAACAGTTTTGATCCATTACGTACATGTTTGACATTTTTTCCAGAATTTTTTAACATCTCCGTTGTTTTTCCTTGTCTCAAACACGAAAACCCTATTAGTGAAGATGTTTTCTGTTGTGCATTTTTTCATTTGAAATAAACAAACTACATCTATTTGTTACGATTAATTAATGGCTGATCAAGTTCAATGTCAATTCAATGCAGTCTAAATGTCAACAAGCGAAGCGTATACACCATCTCAGTATGGGCGGAGCGTTGCCTTGTTTATCCGATATTATTGGATAATACACGTCACGCGTATACTTAACTTCATTTGCATACGCTAAAACGGTATGGGAAATAGAGCTTTTCACACGTTTATTGTTGTGTTTTGATTGTTGACACGTGTGACATAACGAGGTGGCGTTCTCTAAAACACAATTACTTGACAGGTAAAAGTGGTCGTTGAATGAAAAGATTGATGTCAATTAGGTGGCTAATTAGCGGTCGCTGGTCGCGTTGAGCAAAAGTCGCTTAATACATTAAAGATATAGAGAGAAAATGATCGGGGGGAATTTAAAGTGGTCGTTTAAGACAAAAGTCGCTTAATACACGTGGTCGCATGGGCAAGTTAGACTGTACTAATGTTATGGTGTAGTTTATAATCTTAACCAATTATACACGCAATTTTAATACTCTCTTGTTTTTTTATAAATGATATTTGATATGTTTAATAGCAATAAAAATATAATTAAACCCTTAGTATGGTACTATCCTGCTTTTCAACAAAATATTGGTACGATATGTTCATATATCCGAATTATGTAGAGACTGTCCACAGTGACTCCCTGTCTATAATGACCTTTTTTCTTTTCTCCCATTGAAGGTCACTGTAAACAGTCTTTACTGTATTGCAAAGAGACACTCGATTGTTGCATGCCAAGATTAGGACCGAATTGTTGCCAAGGTCTCAATTGTTGATTAGCAAAGATATATGAGCTGTGTCATGACAAAACCAACATAATGGGTTTGCGACCAGCATGGATCCAGACCAGCCTGCGCATCCGAGCAGTCTGATCAGGATCCATGCTGTTCGCTTACCAACTCTATTACAAGTAGAGAAACTGATAGCGAACAGCATGGATCCTGATCAGACTGCGCAGATGCGCAGACTGGTCTGGATCCATGCTGGTCGCAAACCCATTATGTTGGTTTTGTCATGACGCGGCTCATATTAAGAAGATCTTTTTAAGTCATATATACAAGACATAATTCATTCAATAATATCATTACATTAACCCTTAGCACCCTATATATCCTAAATGAACATCATTCAATCTAGACAAAATCATTCACCATTTAAATTGTGTATGGATTATTCCAAAACATTTAAGGAGTGAATATTGAACAACAGTAGACCCTGATCAAAAGGCACTGATGTGCTGTCTGATCTTGGTACGCACTCAATAATTTTCATAAACTTATTTTCTCTATCTTCTCTAATACTAAATCTTCAAAAGGCATACTTAATTAAAACAAACCTTGTGATGTTAAACTCCTATATAAAACAGGGTGGTATATTGAGGCTCTGACAGCACTTCCTGTAGCCAGTGATTTTTCTATACCACCTGTAAACTTGTTAATTATCAAAGTGCTGTTGGACATGGTCCAATACAAATGATCCGTCAGTAAAGATAATGTTGGGGCAGCATGACCACTACTCTCTACACTATATATCTGAAAAACAAATATTATTTTATATATGATAATATCTCTTCATTATTATGTGTTTCTTTTGATGGGTTTTACATTGAACTCACACAGAAGAGATCTTCATAACGGACACTTTCTAGCATAACTGTAGAGGAAGACCTGAAAGAGCATCGGAGTAGAACCATTGAAGTTCAGTAATGCCCCGGTCACATATTCACGGATAATGCCACGGAAGAGCTACATTCTAATCGTTCACAGATTACTACGGAAATGTGAAATTCCGTAGTCTGTTACGGTTCCGTAAGAGTACGGAGTCTGACGGATTTACCACCAAAAGCCCCCAGAGAGACACATATTGTTATGGACCGACATGATTTGATACGGAGGGACACAAATCAGGATGGATACACTACGGTCTGCTACGGTATAAGCACGGGTTAGTACGAATAAGTACGGTCTGATATGGAGAAGAACGAATTGATACGGAGAAGAACGAATTGCCACGGATCTATACGGACCTAATACATCCGACCAAAACCTCTTGCATGCTCATTTTCAAAATGCCTCACAAGACAAGAACACCTGGAAAAAGAATTGCAGGGTTCAATGATTTTGGCGGAGAGGATTCGCCTAATCGCGTCTGACCCCCGAGACACACCAGGTCCGATTAAAGTGAATTTCTTGAAGGACGCTGGATCCTCAACAAGTTCGGACATGAGAGCCACAAACTAAACATGATGCGGTCTTCAAAAAAGCCCATCTCTAGTCCACCATCTCGTATGTCTTCTCTTTCCAAACTGATTAGATATGGAGTAGTCAATAATGAAAATGTTGATCAATACTGCTTCTCTTTTAATTTTAAAATTTGCTGTTCATTTTACAATTACATTAATTATCGTGAATGTTTATCTTTTAAAAATATATAAAAAGCTTGTTAATTAATCTTATTATTTAAATACTCAAGTGGCTTATGAGACACTTCATTTTATGTACATATTTACTCAAATTTCACGATCCAATGTTTGTAAAATATGTAACATTAAATGTAATTCTATTACTTATGAATTGTAGTAGATATTAATATATTTTTACCTCTATGCATGTAATCAAGCAGCTCGACCACTGCCTCATTCTGCACTCTGAGCCATTTCATTATAAAGTTGCAGCTGAGTAAATAGTAATTATCATTTATTGAATGTTACCGCAAATATGTCTGTTTTTAACAAGAGGTAGTATTCTGTTTTGCTCTATTTTATACCCTTGAAAAAGTACATGATACTAATAATTCATCCGTACTAAACAGTGGGTGGACCTTATCATTCCGTACCGTTTCGTGTGCAACGCCAATAAACTGTATAAGACCGTGCTAGTCCCTGCCTCTCCGTAGTACAAACGTATTACGATCGTGGCTTTCCGTGACAATGCCATATTAATCCATATTAAAACTGTAAGCGTTTACGTAGGGTTACAGTACAAATACGTAGTTCTCCGTATCAAACCGTGGAAATCCTCGACAAGTTGGTGGACTAACGAATCAGTTACGGACTAGTACGTTTTTTTGTACGCGACCAGTACGTATCAGTACGGTTTTAATACGTCGGACTAACAGGGAATTACGCTACGGTTGATTTTCCGTAGCAAATTTTTGTGCAAGTTCAAAAATTGTCAAGGATCGCTACGGAATATACAAAGGACTACTACGATTGATTACGGTAATAATACAGAGAGCTACTGACCAGTACAGGTAGCCACCGACGATGCCGGAATTAATCCGTGGCTCATCCGTGGGCGTATTCCGTGAATATGTGACCGGGGTAATTTAGCTAAATGAATAGCTTCTTCACATAAAAAGATTATCCAAAGTCCCCGTCGACAACAGTTACTGAACCAACTGCAGTGAGAGACAAGTGGTTTAAAGTCATGAATCGATGTCATTTCATATTTTAGCTACACATGACAGAATTTGGAAATTGTACTAAGTCAAGGGCAATAACTTTGATAAAACCAAAATTATCCATTTTGCGAAACCCATTATAATATATAGTGGACAGCACCACATGGCTGATCAACTTTCCTGACATCTTTTTAAACCTTTAAATGGATGAATTGTTAAAAATTCCCCCAAAAATGTTAAATTTCACTGCACAAATTCAGAAGTTTTTATTTAGGACATTAATATTACAATGTAAGGAATTTATATTACAAAGTTGGGAAATTTTATTTTAAAAACATACCGGAATAAAATTATAATTTTCAGAACATACCTGTCTGTAGCCTGTATTAAGATTGATGGACTGTATAATATATACATCATAAGGTCTTGCCAACCAATACAGCACATCACTGGTACCGTCAAATACCAAGTCCTGTGGCTTGGCAAGGTTATTTATTATCATTTTTAACGTAGAGCCATCAAGATTTGAAGACACAATGGAGCCATCACTGCTATTTGCACCCCATTCAGACCACAGTAATTTCCTGCAATACAGATACATTATGATATATTCTGTCAATATGAATCTTTTTATCCACACCACCCGTTGCCATTTTTGCCACGCCGTAAAAAAGGTATTGCACAAGGCCATGGCATATATTTTGGACTTGGGACGTCATTAGTTTTATACAAAACATAGTGTAAAGACAGCTAAATTTAGCGTTTTCTTATACTATTGGGCGCCGTCAATGAAAAAATGACTCTTATTTCACTTTAAAAGGTCCCTTTATTTTTGGGTATTTATAAATAGAATATTAAATTTCGTGTAATTTTCATTAAATGAATTTATTGTAAAAGACACTCGTTGAATAAAATAATTTTATTCAACTCGTGCAATAAATTCAGTATTGAACTTTCACTCATTCAATATCCTCTATTTATTACTACATAATTGAGCCACGTCATGACAAAACCAACATAATGGGTTTGCGACCAGCATGATTCAAGACCATCCTGCGCCTCCGCACAGTCTGATCAGGATCCATGCTGTTTGCTTACAAACCCTATTACAAAACTGACAATGAACAGCAGGGATCCTGATCAGACTGCGCTGAGGCGCAGGCTGGTCTGGATCCTTGCTGGTCGCAAACCCTGACTATGTTGGTTTTGTTATGGCACAGCTCATATGTCATTATTGTCTGTGTTACACTGAACCATGAGAGTGTTTCAATAAACTTGTAGCTTCTAACACAATCAAACTATAATTCGTTCATATAAACTAAACTACAAGTATTTAAGGGACAGAAAATTACTAGTATATCAGAATTCTGTGCATGTACCTAGACATATTTATAAGCCTTATAAACGAAATAAAGTGTGAAATTAAATTTAAGGATGATTCTTAATTATTACTATTAAAGTAACACTTTTTTCTTACACCATATTGACCCCCTTTATCTAAATTATCATAATATTCAGTCCATAACTTTATCATTGTTTTATTTCTATTTTAATATATATATACTCCTGAAGGGAGAACTGTCATCATTCACAATTGGGAAAAATATATCTATCCTGATTCCAGGATGGAGACTTCGGGCTAAATGTAAACTTTGAAAAGCCTAAAAAAAATATCACTCTATGATAAATAGAATTGCTTATTAACTGCATATATCATTCAACAATGAAACACCAGGCAAATTAAGTCATGCAAGGTAAAACAATATTGATGATAAACTTACCTTGAGTTTACGTTCACCAGAACTGAGCACGGGCGTACCAGATTTGTTACAAGAATTGAGCAGTTATCTCTCCCTTCCATGAACATACGATAATTTGACCGACTTCTTTGTCAACCAGATATATATATTAGACGTGACCCAGTCAAACTGCCCCCACACCGAGTTACATGCCTCAGACCTGAAATGATAAGCGTGCCTTTCAATGAACATTCTCATAAATGTTTCATAAAGAATACATAAATACATAAATAATACATAATACATAAATATTTTCATAAAGATACATACAAATTTTTCATAAGTATAATTAAATAGTAAAGTAATATTGTAAAGTGAACAAAGATCGTAATTTACACTTTTGTAAAAAGCACTTATAATCTTTGAAAATAACAAAAAGCAGCCATTATTGCATTAGTCACATTATTTAATGACATATAATATATACATTATTATGGAATTATGCAGATTTTTAAATTTTCATTCTTAAATAATATATATCACAAACAATTTTTTGCAAAGCTTTTGAACAACTGTTCAAGTAGGTATTGACAAATTGACATTTAGTTTAATACATTTTGCAGTCTCTATTCTAAAATGTACAATAACTGATATGACTTTATTTTTAGAAAAATATCACAAATTAATTATCATCCCATACATATCCTGCTATATAAATTTGTTTTTCAATTTTGGTTTTAACTATGATTTATTTAAACAACAGTTTAAAGTTACATATATTGGCAGTCAGTCCCCACTAACACCTGTTTGAATCCTTAATATGTTACTATCAAATAAAAACTAAATTTTTCCAAAAGTGACAGACTGAAAAAAAAACAATCCAACAGGATTTCTAAATCAGTAGATGCCTGCGGACAGACCAATGGCAAAGAGACACAATGTGAGAGAACAATTATTGTTATGGTGAAATTTTATAAAATATAGTCTTCAATTCTCCATATTAATATTTTAATTCAATAATTAAGGCATTTGAGACTCCTTAATTAGCAGGTTTATTCACATTGCTGAAAAGTATCTTAAGCTTATTGAACAAATATCAAAATATTAATAACAACAACAAACAAAGAACATAGAAACCTTAATTTGAAAACTTTAAAATCAAAAATTACCTGTATCTATTAACACTTCGGGTTCTTCCTTTTGGTTTTTAACATCTAACTTTGTTTTGTATACAGCTTTACCATGTCTAGATACAACCAACATTATGTCATCTGGACCAAAACCTGCAGCAAAAAAAATTTACAACTGGTTAATATACAATGTAGTTAAAAAAGTTACCTTATTTATTTACAATGTATCTATAATGTACATTGTAAAACTAACTTAAAGGCCCAATATGCAAAAGAAATGTTTTTTTGTTTAGTTGTTTTTATTTCTGACAAGCCCTCTATGTTTGATGTCCTGTTAAGGTCTCAAGACAACTATACTATAATGGCCAGTTACCTGGACCATCTTTTGCCTCTGTTAACTTTGACGATAAATTCAATTACAGGTATTTATTGTTTTTGTGTAGAAGTTAAAATAATTCTTTATTTAGTGTCATTTTGCTTATTTATTATGAATATTTCACACTCAGCGCTACTTTTATAAATTGATAAACCTTTTACATGCTCTAAATGATTTTTTTAATGTTTCTAAAGAAGGAAAAAAACTATTCATTTCTGAGGCATTAATGTTGCCTTTATAAAAATACTTTTTCTACTACAGAATTGCCTTATTTTTACATAGACAAAGACAAAAGGAAAACAAAACCAGTGCTTAAATATCATTATTAAAGAAACATAATTATGTCAGATTAAAAAACAAATTTCTGGGGACATTGTGCAACCAATCCTACTTTTGGAGTTTCACTTATGTTAAGGACATTTTATTCAATGCTAAGATAATATAACTATCCTATTGGTGTTATATGACTACATGACAATATATACTTTCCTAATAATATGGAACTTTAATAAGACTACTTGACAATATAACTTACCTAGTGCCGTAACATGACTATCTGACAACATCACTACCCTAGTGCCGTGACATGACTATCTGACAGCATCACTTACCTAGTGCCGTGACATGACTATCTGACAACATCACTACCCTAGTGGTTTGACATGACTTTCTGACACCATCACTACCCTAGTGGTTTGACATGACCTTCTGACAACATAACTATCCTAGTGGTTTGACATGACTTTCTGACAACATCACTATCCTAGTGGTTTGACATGACTACCTGACAACATCACTATCCTAGTGGTTTGACATGACTTTCTGACAACATCACTATCCTAGTGGTTTGACATGACTACCTGACTAGTGCTGTAACATGACTATCTGACAACATCACTTACCTAGTACAGTAACATGACTATCTGACAATATCACTTACCTAGTACAGTAACATGACTATCTGACAATATCACTTACCTAGTACAGTAACATGACTATCTGACAATATCACTTACCTAGTACAGTAACATGACTATCTGACAACATCACTTACCTAGTACAGTAACATGACTATCTGACAATATCACTTACCTAGTACAGTAACATGACTATCCTGACAATATCACTTACCTAGTACAGTAACAGGACAACCTGACAATATCACTTACCTAGTACAGTAACATGACTATCTGACAATATCACTTACCTAGTACAGTAACATGACTATCTGACAATATCACTTACCTAGTACAGTAACATGACTATCTGACAATATCACTTACCTAGTACAGTAACATGACTATCTGACAATATCACTTACCTAGTACAGTAACATGACTATCTGACAATATCACTTACCTAGTACAGTAACATGACTATCTGACAATATCACTTACCTAGTACAGTAACATGACTATCTGACAATATAACTTAGCTAGTGCCGTGACATGGACTACCTGACAACATCACTTACCTAGTGCTGTAACATGACTTTCTGACAATATCACTTACCTAGTGGTGTAAAACACGACTTTCTGACAATATAACTTAGCTAGTGCCGTGACATGACTACCTGACAACATCACTTACCTAGTGCCGTTAACATGACTACCTGACAATCATTACCTAGTGCCGTAACATGTACTATCTGGAAAAGATTTGTCAATGTGTCAATATCCTCTTTTTCAGTATAGTACCCCTTTAACGGGTCTTGTTTTGGTTCCCCAAAAATTTACCCGGGTTTTCATTTCCTTTTACAAAAAAATAATAAACAAAATTTTTTATCAGAAAAAAAACATAACCCCCTTAAAATTTAAATATTAAATTTTCCCATTAAAACATTTTTTTGGCCGCCCAAATAAAATCATGTTTTCCTTTTTTTTGGGAAAAAAAATGCCTTTTTTTAATTTTTAATAATAAAGGAAGGGGGAAAAATTTGGGTTTTCACTTATTCTTTTAAATCAAAACCTTAATAGTTTAGAAAAAAATTTGGAGCATAAAGGAAACTAAAAGTAGAAAAAACCCTGGCTAAAAGAACGTGTGACTTGGTTAAAATATTTAAGCAAAAAGGGTAGCCCAGTCGTTCCTTCTAAAATTCAAGTGGGTTTTCGTTTTTTATGGCAGTATTGTTTTTTGCTTGTAATTTCATGTAGTAAATATATTAAGACAAACCCAAACTTTCTATAGACAGGCATTCCAGCAGGGTCAAATGAGGTTAAACACTAAGAATTTAGTTTTATTAAGAGACATTTTAATGATATAAAACTCCAAGGAAGTGGTCGCTTCCTGCCAGGGTTCCTAATTGTTAAATATCACTTAAATTGATTACACACTAACAGAAATACACATTTATATATGTAGGTTTTACATTTATCATTAGAGTATGACTCCACTGCAATAGTTTCTGTTTTACTTTCATGCATCATTTGTAGTATCAATTTTTTTTTTTTTTTTTTTTTTTTTTTTTTCAGTAAAAAATTGTCCAGTATTAAAGCAAATAATTATGGTTCACCATGAAGTTATTTCAAGGTTACTTTAATTCAACTTATAAAACAATTAAAATCACTTAGATATTTATATTGAATGGCACATTTATCCTCAGTTACAAACACGTGTTTTGTATAAAATCATTCTGGTAAAGAAGAACTTGCGTGTTGTTTTTAATAAAGATTATGTTAGATGCAGTATACATTATTTTGACAAGTTAACATGCCTGGTTTTGGACCAAGTCAGCATTTATCCTTAGCAATAATTGTGATGAAAATTGGGCACATGTGTAAACACGCCCAGAAACGACAAATAATATCATCATATTTTTAAAATGGGTTTTTGGGAAAACCCAAAAAGATTGTGGTTTGATTTGGGTTGAATGAAAAAGTGCGGGGACTCTTTTGGTTTTTGGATGGGATCGTCCCCTTACCCGACGTTTAAACCCCCCTCCCGGGGCTAAAATTTCCCGGGTAAAAAAAATTCTATTAAGTAATAAAAAAATTTCCCTCTATCATGTAGGGAAAAAATTTTATGTCGGGGAAATTTTCTGGAATTTTATAGCTTTAGTGACCTTGACTTTTGCAAATATTTGTCAATAATAAATTCATGTAAAAACAATTTAAAAAGTCACAATTTTTTCATTAAATTTTGTGTTACAAGATAATAAAGGGTTTTCCTTTTATACACATTCTCTATTTTTTAAAAAATTTTTGGCTTAGGAAAAAACTTTTTTCTAAAGCTCAAAAGGGTAAATTTTTTGATAAGGGTATAAAAAATTTTTTATTTTTAAATTATAAAAAAAGGAAAATTTAAAAAGTCCTTTTGGAAAAAAATTAGGAAAAAAAAATATGTTGACATTTATCAACCCCAGTTTTTAAAATCCCCCACGTATGAACAATTTTTAACTGTTTTTTTATGACCAATCTGAATAAATTTTAACAAGGGTTAGAAACTTTTTATATATTTTCCCAGTTTTACAAACCTTTTGATAATTTTAAATAATAGAAGGGGTTTACTTTTTTTTCCTTCTTTTAACTTAAATTTAAAATGATTTTTTAAAATATACTGTTTAAAATAAATTCAGTCAAAAAAACTTCCTATATGTGGGGCATTGAATTATTTTGTAACATTTAAATTTCTTACCCATATTTTTATTAAAAGAAAAAAAAGTTGAAGAAAAACCCTTTTAAGGGGAAAACAGGATTTTAAGCAGCTAATTATGGGGCAAAAAGTCTCCCCTTAAAGGGAAAATTAATTTGGGGACTATTTATTTTGTTTAATAAAGGGCCATTGATTCCCTTATTCAGTTTTGATACAGAATGAACTCTTTTGTTTTCTTTTGTTCTGTGTTTAGTTAAATGGGCCCTTTACCTACTTCAGTGGTGCAGACGGACAGACCAACGGACATGACAAAGTGATTCCAGCAATTTTTTAGCCCCATCTGGTGCCAGTATGAAAATGGAAGCTTTTTTTTTTAGTTCCTTTAAAACCATCAGCAGGTTACTAGTCTGTACAAACAAATTAATCAAAACAATTTCTTCTTACATGAAACAATGTGAGATATACCTGTAACCAAACATGTCCGGTTGTCATCTGCTAACACATATCCACGGTAACAAGAACACAAGTAACCTCCCCTGCCATTTATACACAGCTGGCTACATGAAGGGACTCCTTTTGTATCGACTTTACATGCTTTGTTCCGGATGTCAGATGTTTCTGAAAATTATGTTTAACAGTTATAATATTCAAGTTGAACAGTTATCATTTCAAGTTGAAAAGTATTCATACTCAAGTTGAAAAGTAATCATAATTAAGTTGAAAAGTTATCATAATTAAGTTGAAATGTTATCAAGATGAACAATTACCATATTCCAGGTAAATAGTGCCTGTCATTTTCTTTCAAAATCATTTTGTTTATAAATGTATCTTAACAAAATTTACAAGAAAATGCCAGCTCATGTCACCTTAAAGGGATATTTAGGCAAAATAATGACAAAAATATGTAAATGATCTTATGTACTCATGAATCAGGCTAAAATGACATTTCTTGAAGTTTCAACATGAATTTCTGTCTGAATTCTATATTTTTTGGGTTTGAACCGTAAATATATCAATATGATGTTGAACAAAATTTAGACGCCAATACAATCACCAAATAGTTTTAAAACAAGTAAGGTGACCTGAACAAACCTTTTAACTTACAATAACAGATATTTTGGATATTGTATGATTGAAACAAGTCTATGTCATTCATTTGAAATGTTCTTTAATGTTTCCAGAGTTCACTTTGACAAATATTGCGAAATCATAGCGCTCTAACCTGACCCACGTGGGTCAAGTTAGGAAACCACCATTTTATTCTTCAAATCGAGAAAAGTTTTGTTCCATTGACTGCCTAATATATTCATTTTGAGGGCATTTACAGAATAATGAATGAAAATTCAAAACTAAGAAATGAAAATTTTGCCTGTGTCTCCCTTTAAGAAACATGAAAAAAATACCTTTTCAAAATACTAAATGTAATACATTAATTATGTAATTTAACAATGCTGTACAATTTGTGATCAGATGAATTAGCAATATAAGACCACAAGTGACCCTAGTTGAGCTCAAACCTGAAATCCCATACCTACATACCCGAGACAGTAACATACCCCAAGCCAGGACAGTATATGAACAAGTCTCCTTCTTGTTATCAAAAGTAAGGTACAAGTTTAAATGTATATGCTCTCAAGTAAGGGCTTTCGTGTCAATGGTCCAGTCTGAGTCCAGCCTTTGCCGGACCAATATTTAGGCCAAAAATGTCTGGTCCTTAGTGGTAAAAAACAAAATAACAAAAAAAAAATCTAAAACAAAAACATTTGTCGCTGACACTGCAATTTGACACTGAACTGGCCCCTTATGCAAGGTGCAAATAATTAATATACAAATATGATGCTATACAACTGGATACTGTTAACTTACCAGGTACGTACATGTAGGGGTACTACGAAGTCAATTGTTATCTTAATTGGCATTATATCGACGTGGCTTCGGACAGTTTACCGTTTATACATAATTATGTGT